TTTGTAAGCTTCAACTCTCTCCCTAGGTCCCCATTCTCTTTTTCCACCTGTCGCAAGACGAGAGTCAATTAAGTGAACTAGTGCATTCATCAGATTGACAAACATTTGAAACTCCACGGAATGTAATGACGAACTCTATCAAGAAACTGCCATTGTTTCACAAAAACTTCAAACCAGGACCTACATATTTTGTTCATTTCAGTGAGTGACTCTGCTTGTCTGGATTTACCGCCTTGCAATTCCGGTCTTCCACCCAAGCGAGCAAACCGCGCCGCCGGATACTACTTCAAAGATTTATGGAAGTCAAAGGTCTGCATTGCCAGAGAACTCCAGCTAAAGGAAACTATCGAGTGCCTTCGAAATAAGCATTTGTTTTTCATCGGTGACTCCACCATAAGGCAGTGGTTTTTGTATCTTGTCTCACACCTTGGGCAAAATATGACAGAGTATAAGATATGGACCAAGGAAGATGTTATTCAAATGCATAGACACGCTTTTGACAAAGTCCACAACATCACACTGGATTTTCGATTTCATTACTACCCGATTCTTGGTAACTGGCTTAATACAACTACTATCTATTCTGCAATTGACTTGATTGACAGTCTACCAGGTGGAAGGGACACAGTACTCGGTTTTACAATGTGGGCTCACTTTACATACACGAATCTGACCTATTACTTATCTCGATTGGAGCCCATAAGAGATGCCATGATACGCCTTCAAGAGAGAAGTGCTGGAAAAGCTACCGTTATAATCAAGTCAGCGAACACGGGCATTTTACCTTACACGCCCGAAATCACCGAGCTGTTGTCCTACGATCTTGACCAAATGATGAGGGCATTTTTCGCGGAAATTCCTGGTGTCACCGTCATTGACGTCTGGGACATGACTGTAAGTCCCAGAGGTGAATATGACGTTCATCCCTGTGAACTGGTTATAAGAGAAGAGATCAAGATGGTACTGAATTTCATTTGCAGAGAGTGAATCGTGTGTAGTGAATCGTGCTCTTCTGCTGGCGTCGTTTTTATGAGCTGCTTAATTAAAAACAATTTTAATTCACCTATTATCTAATACCAGGCCTAACTTTACTCTTTTCATGCGGAACATTTGCGATTGATTAATTAGTCTAATAGGTTTATCACTGAAAAATTGCCTGGGTTAAATTCTAACCCAAGGAAGAGTGAAAACTGCAACTACCCAAACATGGGCTGTATTAACCCAATTTGGGGATGAGAATTACTTTCTGTTTCCTTTCTTACCTTCAAACCAGTGGATATTATTCACTGTTTGGCCAAAACAAGCCAGAACTTAATTTTATCACGCAAATTGGGTTGAAACAATCTAAACTATTGGGTAGTTACAGTTTTCACCCTCCTCTGGGTTAAAATTTAACCTATAGGCAGTATCTCAGTAGCATGCGTGTATTCGTCTTTAGTACGCGTGTCTACCTGGAGGTAGTTACGTGGCCCTCTGGGGTCGATGTCTGCGGGACAGCGTTGATTGAGGTAATGTGCCGTCTGCGCAGTATCATCTACCCAGTGCTGAATAGGGCAGAGTTGAAGAATGGGAGGCTTTGAGACGCTTGATGGCGACAAGCATACCGGTCCCTTTTAGCAGTTCTGGGCATACGTGTGTTGTTTTGAGCATGCGTGCGAAGTTCGGAGCATGCGTGCAAAGTTCTGAGCATGTGAAATACCTTTAAAAAGGACCAGTATGTTTGCTGCCACCAGCATCTCAAAGTCATACACTGCTTGTCGAGTAAGTCGAAACGGTTTCGATTGTTATACAATCGTATAAATCGCCATTGTATCCAATATTTTATAATAAAAGAAACGTAACATGTTTCTTCTCAGTCTTCGACTGATTGGTTTGTGTTTATTGGTTGTCTTGCTTGGAGTGGATTTCGTTCTCATCTCCAAGTTGTCAACGGACCAATAAAGGTACATTTTGGAAACAAATTAAGCTGGTGTTCTTGTGTCCTCCGGATCAAAGGATTGTCCCCACCACCTGCTGTCCGCTCACATGCCGGATACTCTCAAGCCCCGCAGGCCATAACAATTGCTTTTCCTCTGGTCGCTCACCGTGTGGAGTGGCATCTACTGAGGGTCAGACTTTCTCCACACCTTATCCACAACAAGCACAAGAACTTTCACAATAAGTAATTTTTGTAGACTTCAACATCTATTTAATTGTCGAATGCATAACCCTTAGATGACATATGAGTTTCATATACGGACATCGCTTATTTTCCCTTGCATCGGTTACAAATGAGGGCACTGTTGCAGTGATGTCATCCAGGCAGGGAAAATACAGTTCATTACTCAAACTTTGAGCTAAAACAAAACGGGGACATCGTATTTTTAGGTGCAAAGGTGCTGTTTTTGCAAAATATTATTTTCGATGTCGCTACCCCAATGGCCCGATTTGGACCGTGACAAAAAGTGCCGGTGTGGAAAAGACTGCTTCTGTCGAATGGTAGGCATTTAAAACCCATGTCATCGTAGAAGGTCTACTGACCATGATCTTTCAGTGCTCGCTGTGATTGGTGCATTGTACTAGATGGGTGGATTTTATACACTTGAGCTCATTCATCTTCGTGATCTTCGCGGTGTGTTTATAATTAAAGGTGCCAGGACCGATCACAGAATTGTTCCTATAAATGCCGAGTTCGGGACTTGTTGCCTCCAACTCGGGGCATTTCCTTCCCAAAAACCTAGAATGGGGGTCTGTATTGCATAGATGCGTTTGACTAGGTTCAGAGCTGTGTGCATGATTTAATTATTATTTTGGGGGTGTTTTGGGAGAAAGATGAATAATAGAATTCGCATGGGTAGCTCTGATAATGTTGAATTGCCAGTGAAACACGAAAAGCAAAAATCTAATTGACTGACACCAGATGGCGCTATTATTTTCTGTCTGATGGGCACGTATACTGTAGTGCATCGTAACTATAATCATATTCCTCTGATGGCGAGAGTGTTCGATGGAGGACTAGATACGCACAGTGAAACACTGTAAACACAAACGCCGTGAAAGGCTCGCCGCGGTCCCGAATATGTAGGCTGCGGAAAGTATGTTCTTTGGTGCTTGGATTTGTGTCGGGCCGGGGATTTGCGCTAGTCGTATCCCTCATAAGAAGTGAAAAAATGGCAAAAAACATGAGTTCCATCGACGTCAAAGATTTGAACAATAGTGCAGATGTCTGGAGAAGGAAACCATCCATGAGAGGTTTGATAATGTGGCTTGTGTTAGTGGGTATGGCGTACCTTATAGTAACGTATTTCACCACTGGCCATGTGAAGGTAAGAACATTTTCTCATGAATTAACGACCTTTCTGGATACCAATCGATGAGGCAATTTTGACAGTTTTTTCATTGACTTACCAAACTCTTGGCTTGAGATTATACGTAATATTTTGAGGGATTGTATACTTGTACGAGAGTCCAACACCACGTCGACAACTTAGCCATGAAATGTTTTCTTCACCTATTTGTGTGTATTCACAATTGACGTATGGTGAACATTGAGAGCACACTCTCCACAAAGTGGTCAGAATCTCACGGCCTGGGGTTTTGTGCCCAGCCCTTTTCTTTCCAGCAATTTTCCCCTTATCACAATCGATTACTGCAAGCCACTCCCCTCAATAATAAAAAAACAGGGAGGGGGAGAACATGGTTGACCGTAAAGCTCTATTGTCCAATTCTGATGAGCTGTTAGTTTACAGCGGGGCGTTGTCATCAGTGTGTAGCAGGTTTTTTTCACAATGAAACTGCATAAATTCACTGAATATCGATATAAAAGAAAACAATAAACAAACAAGTCTTCAACAATTGCCTTTCAAATATTTTTCAGAACAAAAAAAGTAAGTCCGAACATAATCAGGGCCGGCAGTGCATTCTCAGTGTAGGGCCAGAAAATCTTGGAAACGGGTAAAGTAGTCGTAAAGTGACTAAATACTAGGAAAATACCTGCGCACGGGATCTGTCTTAAAACGGCTGCACATGATGAACATCAAAGGCTAAAAACACCTGAGTATCCCGCCCCTTCTTCTGATGAACTATACTGATGAAAGAATCCGACCTTTATTTAGCTTGCAAAAGTGTGAACACTTGTTTTGGTTTTCTTGTCTGACTTGTCATGGCTTACTAGCGAAAGAATATGTTGATATTCTTTAATGTGGCCCATTTGGATGTTTTGCCTCCAGTAGTGCCTTGCAAGAGATATCTTTACCTGGAATTTCATTATAATTAAAACTGCATCAAACCCTCCATATTCTGATTGAAACATCTCGATTTTACAAAAACTTCCACCCGCAACTTCGGATGAAATTTTTATTTTGACTTGATTTTTCGATTTTTTCTGAAGTCCAAAATAACTCTTTAAAATGCACCCCAAAATACTAAATTAATTTTCTGACAAACTTGTGGTTAGGAAGGGCGGGGCTAATAATAGCTGAGCAGATTTTATCAGCGTCAAAGAATCTCTTTAATGTTTACGTGGGCTTTGTTTTCAAGTGCTCATCGTCGGCAAAGACTCAACTGAATTCCCGTGCCCAATTTCCAGGCTCCGCCGTTTTTTAATTTCGGAGGAAATTTCATGACACCGAAGGTTCAACAGCATATATTATGGGAGTTATAGTTAGCAAAATGCACTTTTTTTAACAAGGAGTTTGGCAGCACTGCATGAGGGAAGTCAATTCAAGTGAATGTCGAAGTGCGCAACGTAGGGGATCATATATTATCGTCTGGCACACGATACACTGTGCTTGACATCGATCTTCCCCGGAGCGTAAAGACAGTTCGAAACAAAACACCTATCACTGTTTTTTTTATTTCAGCAAGTATTCAATGAACTTTTTCACCCTTCCATCCACTAATTTTACATTTGCACTGCTTCCAACTTCCATTTGACATGTTCATAGGTCAAAGCTTAACGCAATGCCCAGCTGTGAGACATGAAAAGATGGCCGGGCCGCGTACTGGTAGTCCGTCATGCTGCATGTCCGCCGTGCTGCTCGCAAAATGCATGATCTTAACTGGTTCCCTATTGTGGGAACCACTGAGGTCATTGTCTCACGAACTCGATCTGTATGTGTATATGCGATACAGGGTAAATCGATCGAATACTGGTTGTCATGGCTATAAGGTCCTCCTAATTATATGTATAAGAATTTAAACGAATTATTACTTATGAAAATCTTGTTAAATTATAAAAATTCACCAGTAGGTAAGTCAGGTCGCCGAGAGTTTCTGATTTGTAGATTAGACAAGATAGCTGGAATAACGTCACATGACCTGATCATAGCTATTTGTTATAAGTTTTTAATATTTAATATTTATTACTCTTTTGATGACACCGTATCGCTCGGTAGAGGCGCCAGGTATCTAATTTCGCCACCTATTAGGGTACCCCTTTTTAAAACCTATGGTTATCATTTCCGACCGATCTTATTCTTTGGCTGATCCCGACCTCGACAAGCACTTTTGTTTTTCACCGGACCCTGCTGACGAGAGGAACTTGCATAAAAAAGACAAGTTAGGATGATCTCTACAAAACCAGTGATGAAAAGATGCATGTGCGATGCGATTTCGTCTAAACAGCAACGCAGTGATAGTCGAAATCCACGGTACGGCATCACTATCTCACCGAGCGGTACCGTATGACACCAAATGGACTACATGTATGGAGCGCCATAGGTAAAACCGAAACATACATGCACCATGTACTGTACATGTATATGCACACATACTGCACGCACAGACACCATTCGGCGCCTTGCACTGATCGACTCCAACAAGGTGTATTGTGTTGTGTACTGATACAAATATTTCTCTGTACTCTGCTACAAAGACAAACTGGTACTCAACATGAAAACAAGTGGCAAGTTTTATTCAGTTACCAGCTATATGACAGCATGGATGACTATTTTTTTTAAAACTGACCGACCCTCCCTCTATTGCAAAAAGATTCGAGAACCATAGAATGGAAAACGTTCCCCCTGTGCAGGTCTTATTGGTGACTGGCGAAATAAAAGATCTTGCAACTATACTGTCATGGATGTTGCAGTCATGTCTAATTGACTGAAGTTAATTCGTTAGTTACCATGTTGTGAGGAGTTACAAGCATAAAAATAGTCAGATGTATGTTGATGCAATTCAGGTATCGCGTACGGGGAACATTTGACAGGATTCAAAGAACTTACATCAAAGGCCAGGGGCATATGTTAGTAACTCATGTTATTTTGTTAATGTATGCTTCGAACGAAGCAATACAGTCTAATATATGGAGTATCTAGAATAGGAGATGGCTAGATCATGGTCATAGACAATGGTGACATTGCCACAAGCACGCATCTATAATGTACAATCGAGTGCACTGGTGATGGAGAAAATAATGATGGATAATATATAAGGCTCTTTAAATGCCCCAGTTGAAGTGTCACGTCTACTGTCTCGTAATTGTGTAACCTTGGAACGAGTACGGAAAGCAACGTTGCGTTCCTTTGCCCATGGCAGCACTGCGTGATATGACCGATACCCGAGGGTTATAGACTTCCGGTTGTGGGCCCAGCTATGCTCGTGAAACACAAGTAGCGTACTTTTATCACTGTTTTTGCTGCGAATGCCATTGTTGTGAAAGCTCATGACCCTGCCAAATATATTTCACCGAAATTTCGTGTAAATAACCAGTCGACAAATGCCCATGTTCCTCGTAAATCCCATGTCTGTTTCTAACCAGTTTTTTTAATTATTCCTAGGTTTTCTCTTTAAACTGGCCAGATTTTGGTGTACGTACAAAACACACTTGACCCCTACACCGCATGCAAAATTGTTAAAATGTATTACATTCATATATAATCCTACATCCGCAATTCATGGCTTTCATGTAATTATCCCTTTCAGAGTAAAATTGAATGCAGTTATGTTGTTACGAAAATTCTACACCAAACGCGTTTATTTTTATGTCACCACAAAAAAAGGGGGGGGGGTGAAACAGTAACCCTTCCCCTGGTCGACAGTATGGGATATATATATTCCCCCATCCCTTGGAATTGACGTCTGGCATGCATATCGATGTAGATATTGATTACAAACATTGAGCGCCATTTTGCTGCGTGTACCTCGCAGAAACCGCTGTTGTACACCTTTGATGGGGCTCAATTGAAGGCAAAGCGTATCAGAAAATCGTGCGGACGGGTTTGCCCCCAACCGATTAAAAAAACGAAAAATTAAACCATCTTCCCCCGGGGATATACTATACGCCCTTGTCCCAAAGTTATCTTTCTTTTCTTTTTTCCCTTCCAGTTGCCACATCCACTACCATCTCAAAGAAAGTTCTCCGCACGTATGCTTGGCTCTGTACAAAATATCATCTCCAATTACCTCGCTCAATTGCCGAATGTTACACCAGCAACACTTTCGAACCCAACAGTCGCTGGGAACTCCTTTTTCTACATCCAGTACCCCAAGGCAAGTTACAATGTATGTGATCAGCTGGCGTTGTACATCGAAGCGAGGGACAATACGAACAAGACGAAGACCAGTGGAGGTGATTTTTTGTGGCCCTACCTGCAAACAGCCTCACTACGCGCTAGTACCCCGGCAGACGAGGTGATCGACCATGGGAACGGTTCATACACCGCCCTCTTCACGCTACACTGGGCCGGGGAAGTCGAGCCGTTCGTATGGTTTGTTCTCAGCTCCGAGCAGTCTTATTCAGTGCGTAAAATTAGGGACCAAATACCTTACAGGTTTGCCTACGACGCCATATTCACTGACGACCAAACTATCGAAGTGACACCGTGCCACATTACGAAGGATATTTACGTCGATAAAGCGGCAAAAGGGTTGTCATTCGCGCCGAAAGCAGAAGTTTGTGATTTTTCTGACCCTAGGATAGGTTCGACTTGGTATTGCCTCAAGCCCAAAACTCTGTCCTGCTCCAATCGTAGTCAGCATCGTGGTAACATAGAAAGAGGAAACAGTTATCTTCAACAAGCGCTGCAAGACGAAAAAGTGTCGTTAGCAAAGTTAGTATAAAGCCACTTCCAATATGACAAGCTGAACTATCTACTGATGGCTAATTGTATAATGACAAGCTGAACTATCTACTGATAGCTGATTTTATTATGACAAGCTGAACCATCTACTGATAGCTATTTTTATCATGACAAGCTGAACTATCTTCTGATAGCTATTTTTATTATGACAAGCGGAACTATCTACTGATAGCTAATTTTGTAATGACAAGCTGAGTCAAAGAACGCACAAAACTCACAACTTACCAATCAACCCGACTGAACTAAAGGGAGAAAGTTCACCTAATAAAGATTAGTTGCAGAACCTGCATCCAATACAAATAATGCAGTGCAAGAGTGCACACACTCTTAGGAAGAGTTTATGACTAGACCAACGTCTTGCTTTGACAGTTGTTTGGTCTGTTTATTTTGTTTGGCTTGTATTTCTTCCAGGCCAGAAATGCTGAAGAACACTGGCCAAGTACGAACAGTCAAAGTGATGTCTGAAGGTATTTAATCCTTATCATTTTGTACATAAGGTTGCCCTGAAAGGACCTCTATTAGCTTAAAGACATTGCAATTTTCACCCAATTGCATACGGTACACCTTTTCGATCGTTGCTCCACCCTTATTGTGGTGTTTCTAGCAGCAGTCTATAGAAATTTGAAGACTTGTTTAATGATGTTCGCCTCTAAACAACAAAAAAGTGTCGGTGCTTTTGTATTTCTTATTTCCAAATGACTCTATCTGAAGGGGCAGTTTTTTTCAGTATCAACGACCCTTTTTAAGGCCTCATCAAGGAAAAAAAGACATAATACAAATGGATTGTAATTTCAGGTAGTTGGGGTTTCCTTTTTTAGAAAAGCCACATTACTGAATTTGGAATCATGAATTCACATTGAAATCCAACACTGTGCTCTGTTCCAAAGATGCATCACCACGGGACTAAGATCAACTGAACAGTTAAATCATTCACTTGTACCTCGTGGTAATATTCTATTTTAAACAGAGTTTACTAAACAGTATTCATTTTCTGTCGTGTGGTTGTAAACTGTTGTAGTTTCCTTTTCTCCAATCAATCCACTCTTTTAGGCTTCAACTCTCTCCCCAGGTCCCAATTCTTTTACTTTCATCCATCTCTCTACTCCTGTTCACTTCAACTCACTTCACGTATCTATCTATTTATCTGTAATCTTTTTCTAAACTAGCCACTATTCAATTGGACTTTGTGAATCAATGGAGCGGATTTATCTGGAAAAAAAAAATGAAAACCTCAATGGATAATGGCAAACTCTATCAAGAAACTGCTATTGTTTCACAAAAGCTTCAAACCAGGACCTGTGCGTTTTGTTTCAGTGAGTGACTCTGCTTGTCTGGATTTACCGCCTTGCGATTCGGGTCTTCCACCCAAGCGAGCAAACCACGCCGCTGGATACTACTTCAGAGATTTATGGAAGTCAAAGGTCTGCCTTGCCAGAGAACTCCAGCTAAAGGAAACTATCGAGTGCCTTCGAAATAAGCATTTGTTTTTCATCGGTGACTCCACCATAAGGCAGTGGTTTGTGTATCTTGTCTCACACCTTGGAAAAGCCATGAAGGAGTATAAGATATGGACCAAGGAAGGGGTTATTCAAATGCATAGACACGCTTTTGACAAAGTCCACAACATCACACTGGATTTCCGATTTCATTACTACCCGATTCTTGGTAACTGGCTTAATACAACTACTATCTATTCTGCAATTGACTTGATTGACAGTCTACCAGGTGGAAGGGACACAGTGCTCGGTTTTACCATGTGGGCTCACTTTACATACACGAATCTGACCTATTATTTATCTCGATTGGAGCCCATTAGAGATGCCATGATACGCCTTCAAGAGAGAAGTGCTGGAAAAGCTACCGTTATAATCAAGTCGGCAAACACTGGCATTTTACCTTACACGCCCGAAATCACTGAGCTGTTGTCCTACGATCTAGATCAGACGATGAGGGTTTTTTTCAGGGACGTTCCTGACGTCATAATTATTGACGTTTGGGACATGACTCTAAGCCACGGAGGTCGATATAATGTTCACCCGAGTAAACTGGTCATAAGAGAAGAAATCAAGATGGTACTGAATTTCGTTTGCAGCAACACAACCACGGGACACTGACTTTTTTGATAATAAACAATGCTATTTAAAGGACGTTAAACACTAATGGCGCCCAACCTCACTGCCATGGGAGAACTCACGTTAACTAAACCTCACGTCATTATGTTAGAGGTCTATGTTATAAGGCACAAAAGGGTAAGAGAAAGTCAACTTTCACATTGTCCTCTCTTTCAAATGCCAACAATTTTTAATAAAAGAGATTTGCCAAGGTGCAAGTGCCAACATTATTTCTCTGATTTCAAACAGCACCTATTGATGAGAGCTTTAAAAGACCCTACCAAAGAGCACAGTGTGGTCTTTCATGTCGGGGTTTTCTTTGGTACTAATTTCTTCGGCACTAAGTTCAACCTTGTGATGAACCTGGGAATTATTCAAGACTCTGCTAAGGGGGAAAAGGATAGAAGCCAAGATAGTAAAAAAAGAAGTGAATATTCGTAAGAAATTGTTATAATTTACAGTGAAATCCTTTGAAACTATAAATAGCAGACTTTTTGGTAGGCAGTGGAAAATAAAAATAGGTATTTGTTTTGAAAGCGCCACGTAATTTACTTCGAGTTTTGAATTTCATTTATGTATAGTTACATTATCAGTTGGTATACCCTGTTCAGTTGAAACTGAGGCCAAAAAAGATACCTGTTTTATTCGAGAAAAGAACAGGTCCCAAAAGCCTTTTGTGTCATGTATGTTTGATGGGACAAACATTAGTTCATAGATCAGGGTTGTTAGTATAGATGATGTTGGATCTCCCTACCTGTTTAAAGCATTATTTACGTTTTAATGGTGCACTAAAAAACAATGAGCTCAACGTAATAATACGACTCCGATTATGTAAAAACGGGGAGAATTCGCGAAATACCAACGTTGTTGGTTGGTGGGAATCTTGATTATAGTTTCACTTCCCATTGTTATAACTAAAAGCATTTTGTCAAGGTAAAGCAAAGCAATATTTTGAAACTTTCTCCTAAATGTTGTGGCAATATGTAGTAGTTTCTTATGGTGATTAAATAGAGTATTTATATCTGAATACAAAAAATTGTATTATTCTGATAAAGATGCTATTTTTCTCTATGGGAAACAGGTTTCACCTGGCAATCAAAACTGGTAAAAACAGGATCACTTAGAATTGGAACGGACACGATTTATTTACTTGTAAAGTCAGAACTCCGGTTGCCATTACTGTTAAACAAATTGGTTGAAAACTTCAATGCACAAGGAAGTTTCCGTGCACATCTGATCACGTCCACTACTTGTCCTTCTCTGCGCTCAATGCAAAATGCCTTCGCCGATAAAATCTGTGCTTTGAATGGTTGAAAAGCAAGATGACTGCCCTATGATAGAGGTGTATAACAATTTATTCAAACTAATATCTACCACAACTTATTTTGTTCCATTTGAAAGCAAATGGTAATAGATCAGCAAACGTATTACAGATAAACAGACAAATAAAAAGAAATAGAAACCATTACTGCGGGGCCATTCTGTTTGCAAGCAAGCGGTATATTCCTCTCCTACCAATAGGGTTTTGACTTGCTTCAGTGTGTCACTGGCCCACAGGACTAGCGTCTCCTCGGATTTGTCTGTAAAGTTATGTCAAGATATCCTTTGGAAACATCTTTACAGTATCATTTTCAATCAGAATAAACGAAGAAAAGGGTTAATATCAAAAAATCCAAAAAGACGTTTTGAAATGAATATTATACCACCGAATGACTGTGACTTTCCACCAAAAAGCAAAGTCGTGTTCTAAGTCATGCTTCTAAAACACAAGTCTATTGCTGCAACCAAATGAAGAAATTATTTGTACATCTTCCAATAAGCTACAATAAAAATAGGTTATATCTCGTCACTGCAAATTTTAACTATTTCAAAGAGAAAATTGCATTACGGTTAAACAGGATACTCATTAAATGGTATATTCCAATCAAAAGACATAAGGCTCCAAAGAAAATGAACTACGAAAAAAGTAGAAGAGAAAAAGGATATACAACCGGAGGTACATGACTGTATAGTTAATGATCATTGGAATGCTGTTGGCGTTATCTTTTGCAACAGCCTCCGTATCGTTACGTTGGCTAGTTTCTCACTAAATATGCTACGCCACTCTGCTGTCTACTTTATCACACGTCACTGCAAACACCGTGGAGTTAATTTAATACCCTTGGAATATATAGTGAATATCAACGATCAGTCTTCCCAATATGCAATTGTTGGTATCAATTTTAACTGCAATCAGTTATTGCAGTGAGCTGGCTAGTATTCCAAAGCTGATTCCAGACGTGTGCAATGATCGACAATCTATTCTTGACGTGATCAATATATTTCAAAAATACTTAACATATCTCAATACTATCTCACTATAATTACAAAACCTCTTACTGCACACCGTTTAAAGAGCGTCGGAATCTTGTTTTCATGATATCTCTAATCAGCAGATTCTTTTATAATAGTATTATTAAAAGCTGTAGGGTAGCAGTTTTTCACTCTGTAGAGAATGTTGTTTGCTACTCCACAGTAACTACGTGTATATTGCCTCGTACTTGTCCTAGTATCAGTATTTTACACATTTCGGGCAACTTTAACACTTTTAAAAACGGTCATCCAACTGTTCGTCAACATTACAGCCTGTTACATTACAGCACTGAATCAGTATGTATCTGACAACTTCAACAAACTAAAACGAAGTGCAATGCGGGAGTGAAGTTAATACTTCTTACTAAGCCACTTCCATAAGAGCGGTAGCTGCCGACTGAATAGTGAAGACAGCGACGGAAAGCTGTTTCTTTACAATGTTCCACTTTTCTGGGTCCGGATTGTTATCAATGTCAAACATGGCATCCACAATCCCTGGGAACTTGTCGCTGGCGTAATTATCTCTGCTGCTGGGTGCAAAGACGATGTGTCTGGAAATATCACCAAGACAAGTGTATGTAAAGCTGATGTCCAAAAGGTACTGCTTATCTGAATATTGAAGACCTCCAATTGCAAGACCAGCCAATTGGTGTGTTTAGGGAAACTATTCGGACATGATATCCATAGAGTGACATGACAACGATTTATTTCAAAGATGAGTTTGCGCCGGGGAGACGTAAATTAATTTTGTTTTTTCCCCTGCCCGACGTGTATTTAACACTGTATGCTCAGTGTATGCCCCAAAGGCTTGTTGAAAACCCACAAGCGTACTCGGGTGGGACTCGAACCCACGACCTCCAGCTTACTAGTGCAGACGACAAAGATTTGTTGTAGGGTATTAGTATTTCATAGACGATATTTAGCCCAGAAATACTGATTCGTTAGCCTTTTGCATTCAATTTAAGGGGCGCTGTGTCTTACATTATTTCTTTGAAAACCACTATAAGTGACGTCACGTCGATGGATAATATAGTGCAAAAATGAATTTTTAAGGGTAAACTTAACAGTGCTGGATAATTTCCCGTGCAAGATGGCAAACTGGTCGATTGCAGTTCCTGGATTTAATTTTCAATATTAGAGCATTACTGTATCTACACCTTTATTTTTAATATCAGCTATAATAATAACAATTTGGAATTTATAGAGCGCCCTTTCCACCGAAGTAATCAAAGGCGCATTACAAAACTGATGCAAAACCAAGGAGATTTATGCATGAAAAAGAAAAGAAAAGAACCGAAAGAAGACAGTCTTTAAGAGAAAGTTAGGCCACCATGCATGCCAGTGCCCAAGCCGCAGTATGCTATTCGTGCTCGGAATGTATTCCATGCATGATTGTTAAGTTTACTGATTTCCACTGATGAAAGCCTGATTTCTGAGGCTAAAATTCGTCTCTGAATTTACTTCCTTCAGTACAGAGCTGCGTGTCCTTGAATATTGTTATTGAATTGATGAATAAGCTGAACAATTTATTATTCACCAGTGTTCAAATTATCCAACGTTAACAGACAATAAGTGTGTAGTTTTTTGTAGGCTCAGTCTTACCTGACGAATGGTCGATCCGGAAGGCCTTGTGGGTCACTGAAAGTTCTTTCAAATAGGGTCAGCTGATCGTTAAGCCTGCGCACCAGCATCACACTGCAAAAAAAATCCCACATGAATTCTTAATCATTTTCTTAGCGTTTTAAGCGAGGATGTGAAGTGGGGAGAGCTCACATTGGGAACGGCGGACGGCTCTGGCTGGGACAAAGAAAAATTAAGTTGGGGATCACTTTTCTGTTGCGATGGTAAATTCCTAATGTTAAGCTTGAGAGCTTTCCTGACACCTCTTTGAAATTGTTTGTACATGATGAGGCAGAAAATAGGTAAGTTTACCGCGAACGGGGACAAGCAGATACAAATTCGTCCTTGTTGTGAATATAAGATTACAACGTACGCTTTACTCTTAAAGAAATCTTGAAATGTGGTTAAAAATATGTAACAGTATTTTTTATCACTGGGAGCATATTTGTTTAATTAATCCTTGGAAAATGTTTTCTAAAGGCCTCGAATCTAATACCAAATATGTACCTAAAAATTCAAACATACGTGAATCTGAATTATTTCTTATCACTGTCTGCATTCCTGCCGTGGATATCCCTGACTAAAATCAATTCAACAAAAGGCTAGTTCCATCCCATGCGTATTTAATATGTGTAGAAAATTAATTTTATAAATACTGACGCTAATATGATGGTGTTTTTGTTTGGAACGGATGCCGCAGGTGAAAGGGTAAGGAATGGATTGGTCCTGGATAGGATGTTTATTTTCCATTTGTCACCACTAAATATACAATGACAATGGCAACAGGTGGTGAGTTATCCAGGCACCAAGAAGAAACATGAGCTTATTCAAAGCCTGGTACAGTTTGTGAAACATAAATACTGAAATGAAACCAAAATAATAAATACTACCAAGGAGTCGAAGCACTTCTGATGAATAGATTAAATAGAGACAAATACGCGAAACACATTACAAAAAAGGTGAGTGAAAAACCTGAGTTGCGTACAAGACCTTAACACAAGTTGGAACGTTACTTTCACAAATAGGACCCCGTGTCGGATGGATGCTTAAATCTGACATAAATCAGAACTAAGAACAGTTTTCAGATGTCTTTTGAATCATGTGCAATTTCAAATACGGGTATTAAAGAGGCAAACTCATTTTAGAGATGAAATCCGTGGTTTCTGATTCTCTCCATGAACGACGTAACCCTTACAAAGGTCAATTGTATTTGCTGAACTTGTGTTATAATGACTCAAAAACATAGACCTATATAGTTGAGTAATAGGTTACTTTAAGATTTAAAGGAACCAGGAAATAGAAATATTTTTATAAAGTTTACTAAAAACCCTTGAAATTGCATCTTTGGGTTTCAATTAATCTGATTTTAAACTTTTGTTTTTCAATTTTAATCCATATCTTGATGCTGTTTTGGTTTTATGCTAATGGAATTTGCATATTCATGAGCAGAACTATGATGTCATCCTAAGCACTGAATCTCAAAGTTGCACTGATTTTTGCACAGAAAATTTCTAGATTTTTTTATATATAACAGGTTTGCCCTTACCCAACGTATATTAATAAGCACTGTATGCTCAGTGCTAGTCCGAGAGCTTGCGAAAAACCTCACAAGCTTACTCAGGTGGGACTCGAACCCACGACCTCCTGCTTACTAGTGCAGATCAAGACATCTGCACTAG